CTCGACGATATCGGCCTGACCATGGCCAAGGCCGATCAGATCGACACTTTTGAAGGTGAACTGGGCGAAAGCCGTCCCTGGGTGTGATCGGTCCGGCCCGTTCAATCGCAGGCAGATGACTGTTGTCTGCCGCGAGCGAGCCATGGATATGAACCAAAAACCCTGCTTCCCGCGACTGGAGGCAGGGTTTTTTGTTGGTGTCATACAGGCGCGATGAGGTGGCAGGTTCACCCCGCCGCCCGGACATGATCTCTATCCCGCGCCATCGCGCGATCAGGAACGGGCGAACTCTGCCACTTGTTGTTTCAAGGCACCCCAGTCGGTGAATTCCCGCGTCTCCTGCAGATCCTCGTTGAGATGTCCGGCCAGGTCGCCTTCCAGGAGGGCTGATTTCTCGAACCAGTCATAGTTGCCCGGCTTCACCGCACCGGCAATCAGGATGACCTGTGCCGGTTTCCAGTGTGTGGCCTCAAGAAGGGTATCGACGTAACCCCTCGCCTCGTTCAGCGTGTCCGGGAAAGCCGCAGCGAGGCTGACGGAAACGAGAAGGCCGGGGACCTGATTCAGCCGCTCCCGGTTTGCAAAGGCAAACAATTCAAGATCGGGCTGATGTTTTCCCGAGTGTACCGAGCCGGCGACAATCACCTTGTCGTAATCCGTAACGGTCAGGCCTCCGGACAGATCGCTCACATTGTGAAACCGGACCTCGTGACCGTCTTCAGTCAAGGCTGCGGCCATGTACCTGGCGATCTTGTCCGTCTGTCCTTCAGTGGTTGCATAGGCAATCAGAAAATTCACGCGTGCCCCCATCTGCTTTCCTTCGGTCCTCTCAGGCTAGCACACGGCCAACTCGTGTTCCGTCCGCAATTCCACGTGTTTTTCCCGGCTGGCTTGCGTCAAATTGACCTGCTTTGCCGGCTGATCCGATGGTTTGATCTTCAGACGTGACCACAAAATTCAAGAGTCTAGGGTACGGACCCATTAATGACGCCGATTTGGCGGCAGAAA